AGTAGCAGTAGTAGTGGTAGTCGTCGGGGTCGTGGTCGTAGTAGGACTAGTACTTACTGGCGGAAATAGTAATTGCGCCCCCCCTCTTCCAAAACAAAAAAAAGCCTTCGCGTGCGCCCTCGGAGCTAGAGCAGCCGCATCCCTGGGTAGGCAGAATCAGGATTAAGATCATTGAAAGAACTTGATCCGCAGCTCTTCACGTCAAGTTTGCTCACAGCTGATTGCAGGAGCTCAAGAAGATGTCCCCGGCTGATCGGGCGAAGGCTTGTGTGGGGGCAGATTGTCATCCCAGCCCATCCTGCAATTTGATGTTTCAAACGCGGATGCAGGTCCAGAAGCGTGTGGTCTTGATTGGTGGCAAGGCACGGCCTGCTTTTACTCGGCTGCAAATACGAGCGTCATGAAACAACTCTTGAGTCACTGAGGCGGCATCTGCTTATGTGAACGCCAAGATCATCATTAAGCTGATCAACAATGTCGGCAAGGCTTTGTTGCTTGCCTGCTTCCCGTAGGCTCTAGCAGGCGGTCATGAAGTGGTTTGAAGGTCATCAACAATGACCCAGACACCGGCAAGCTTCTGAAAGTTGCATTCGCATGGAGCCCAGACATTTTGCACTTCCACAGCCAGGGCTGGTTCGCTGACCCAACAGGTGCCCAACTACTGTGTGTCAGCAGCTCAAGTCATGATCCCGGCCTCCGACATTTCGGAGCACATCTCTACTGCAGGCGCGAATCTGTGATTCTTCAACGGCCAGCAGGGTTTCGAGACATGAGAAAATGTTCAGAAGTTTGCCGCCTACTGGTTCGGCTGGAGCTGCAGACCAAGAAAAGCAGCATGACGAAGCCGCTTAGAACACCTGACTGTTCCTTCCGCAGAGAAAGTAACTGAGTGAGTGAGTGCACATGACATATCATAGTGGAAGATGCTAACCTTACACTACTTTTTTCAAGCATGTTCAAAAGAGGAGTGAAATCGCCTGCAACATCAAGTCAGCATCTACTGCTGACACTTTTGGTTTTACATGCCGCCTCAGGACCTAAAAACAGATTAGCTAAACAATTTCTTTGCCTTGTTTGCCACATCTCGTAGCCTCTTTTTCCCATTCAAAGTTGGGCTTCGCGGAGACATGCAAAAAGCCTTCCCTTTTTCCCAGACCCCGCTTTCATATGGGAAGGCACAGAAGCCAGCGGAACCTCCAACATGAAATTCGTGATGAACGGTGGCTTGATTGCTCCAAGCTCAGATCAGACTCACCATTCGGCACTTGTCCTGTAGGCCGGAGTTTGGGATTGAGGTCGGTACCATGGATGGTGCGAACATTGAAATTCGTGAGGAGTGTGGTGGGGGCCACTGTGTTCTGTGATTAGCATTCAGCAGGAATTTTGAGCCGCTGGCAATTGCCGAACTCTGCTTAGGTGAGGACACTATGTTCATCTTTGGCTGCTTGGAGAATGAGGTGAGTTCGTGAGAAGGGAGCCATCAGGTCTCGCTGTCGAGAGCCTGACATTGCAGGTGGCCGGTGTGGCAGCAAAAGCCAAAAGCGGTCACTACCCCATCGACAGCCGCTTGCAAGCTGTTTTCCAGGCTGGGCAGCATTTGTCTTGCTCATTTTGCTTGTTGTTATCTATCTGTATTGACTTTGGAGGCAATTCGCAATGGGGAGTTCTCCAGGGGTGAGCCCGAGGCGGGCGTGAGAGAGCTGCTGCCATGGCTTTGCCTTGCTTTTTTCGTTCCTTGGAGGCGCAGACGGAGTTCTGCTCCCTGATTGACAAGCTGTGCAACACCCAGGGTGCTGGCACCTGGGAAGGCTTTCCTCACCCTAAGCTGCTGAAATTGTTGCATGCTCAATCATCTCATCCGTCAGGTGACAAGTACTTGGTGGTGCACGACTTCCCCTCCTTTGTGGATGCCCAGTCCAGAGTCGATGCAACCTATGCGGACAAAGCCAAGTGGTGCAAGCTCAGCATTCAGGTGCGCAAGTATCTATGTGTATTCCAATGACATCATCAGCCAAGGGCATGTTCCGACTGCAACACTTGAAATCGCAGGCTGCGTCCTGCATGGCAAAGTTTTCGACTGACCGGACCATTCAGGCGCGGAAGCGGATCGCGCCTGTCCAGCCACCAAAGCTGCATGGAATCGAAGTATTTTGATGGCAGGAGTACGCTGATGTGATTTGGGGCGTCAAGCCTGCACCTCGCCCCATGGAGACGCCACTTGACTGGATTGGCACAGGGCTGCAGGCTTGCTTTTGTGAAGCCCGAACGCTTCCAAAGTGAATTAGCAGCCAAGGTGAGGCGATGCATGGATTTTGGGCTGTGAGGGACGCGACTGGTCATGGGGAACCCGTCGGCCAGCCGTGGCAACTCATAGCTCCCATCTGTTTTAAATAGCGCTCGCTCCTTGCAAAACATAACGGGCAAAGTGGCCCTTACTTACAACACACCCAGCATTTTTCGAAATTCTCAGCCATCAGAGCAGGAGCAGTGAAAGGGCAGAGGCCAGAGCAAGCCGGCCCCATCGGTTGCCAGTTCAGCAGCAATGGAGATCACAGCTTTTACAATGACCGGTCCCCATTTATGGATATTGAGAGGGCCTCTTTTGATGACCTCCATGTTGCCAAGTTCCTTCCATTTCGATGTGTGCAGACCGTGAATTGTTTACGCCCTCGCTCGTTGTCGTTGCGCGGAGGACTCGGTCAGGTACAAAGGGACACGGGCGAAGAAGAGATGGGATGTAGGTAGAGAGGGAGGCTTTTACCCAATTCCCGCGTGGAGGCTGCTCGAACGTGGTTTGGCCCTCATTGCAAGACTGCATGGAACCGAGCTTCTCGAATGCCTGAACCTCAGGGCGTCGTGTTGAGACGGCGCGTTGGCTTCAAGTTCCTGACTCAGAGCTTCCTTGCAGAACAGAGTGCTTCAATGAAACTAGGTGCAGGCAGCTCCTTGCAGCCTGAAGCGGCTGCAAGTTTGAGTGCGGTGCGATGCTGTACGGTGGCTCGATTGGGAGGATGCCATGAAAACAACATGTAGCTGCCGCCAACAAACCTTCTAATAGGCAGCAAGCTTTGTGAACCAGAACAGGCTTGAGTCATTGAGACATGTCAGGTAGCTTAGGCTCTTCGCTGTAGTTTGTGCTGCTTCCATGCTGCCCTGGGCCATTGACGGCTTATGGCGGAGCAACCGGCGCAGCAACAGCAGCCTCAGGAAGATGAAGGTGGTCCAACCTTGCTGGAAAGAGTGCTGAATGTGGGCAAGCGATGCTTGGGGGTCTTTGCCAAGGGCTCGCCACCAGAGCCTGCACCAGAGGTCTCTGCTTATTTGCTCTCCATTGGTATCCAGCAGAGGCATTTGCTACAGATTTATTCCGTCTTTGATTATTTGAAGCGCTGCGAGGATGAGGAGGCCTTCATCACCACTGTTTATTCTGTTTCGTCAGATGTAATGCCGCTGCTGATTGAGGAGCGTAGAAAGTATGTGATCCGGTTGCTCAGGTGTATCCTTAAACTCGGGGACTGTGAGGAGGAAGCCACCTGGGACAAGTTTCTGTGGGTGATGTTGCGCTTTTGTTCTTTGAATCGGGTAGAGCTTGCCCAGACGCTCTTCCTGTGTATCCTTCGCATACGTGATAGCACCACGTACCACTACATACGCAGTTATGAGCTCCAAGAGTTTTTCGCTGCTTACAGGAACTGCCCGATCAAGTCATTTGACACGGCGGAAATCAACTTTGACTTGCTGCCAATCCGCAGATATTATGCTTCGGATTTTGCGGAACTGTTAATGAGATACTCGGTATTGCTTCATCCTATTCTCCATCTACAGCAGTCTCTCCAATCCAAGCTTCCAAGCATGGACTTCTGGGACAACAACACAGAGTCTGTCTCCTTCTGTAGGAAGATTACCTTTGACTTCTTCATGATGGAAACAGGCCGGATTTTCCTGCGGGGTGAGCCGCCATTCCGGGAGACCTGTGACATGCTGTGCCCAGATGCACTGGGATGTGTTCCAATCAACCAAGACCAGTGGATCCTCCGAACTTGGGTTGCCAAAGGTGGCCAGGGACTGGCCCAAGTCTTTGTCTGGGGTGAGCAGGCGCTCCCTGAGGTGATCGATCTGCGGCAGGCAGCCAAGGAGGAAGAGGAGGAACGAGAACGCGTGCGCCTTGAAAAGCTAAAGGCAGAGGAGGAGGAGGCTATGGAGAAGGAGATCTCCAAGGCTGAGCTGGCTAAGATACAAAAGGAGTCAGAGGTGAAGTTGGAAGACATGACGGAGGATGAAGCCAAACGCCATCGCCAGACACAGGCAATGGAGAAGGCTAAGCGTGAAGCGGAGATGAAGAAGGACAAGTCAATGGCCGAAAAGCCGTCTTTCGACCTCACGGCACTGACTCGTCAAGCAGCTGTGATGGATGAGGAGTTTGCCGCTCCGATGGATGTGTTGCCGCCAAAATGGATGAAGCACTGCACCATTGCGCCGGCGCAGCAACTGCGGGGTGCAGATCCCCCACTGCCGGTGCAACTGAAGCAGCCTCCCAAGAAGATCTACAAAGTCTCCAAGGAGTCGGATCGCAGGAAAGTTGCAAGGGCGAAGAGGGAAGCAAATGAAACCGAGGGCGAGGGCGAAGAGGACAATGCGGACAGCCCGGACAATCCGGACGGCCCAGATGACGCCTGAGTCTCCTTGCCACCTTGCCCTTGCCATTTGCTCCAACCCTTGTTCGTTTCAAATCATGTCAGAAGTTTCACCCATAGGTGCAGAGCCTCGTTGTGCAGCCAAAGGAGTTTCTCACCGCAGCACAGAATTTCGTCTTGCATGCTGGATCGTGTGTGACGAAAAGATAAGCTTCATGTTTCTAGCCAGCCCTGAAACCTGGTGGATGCGTCCACCCAGATGCTTGCGCTTAGCTGCAACATTGTCAGGTCGATGATTTGTATTAGTATTAAAGAACAAGTCTGCCGTTCATGGTGATTTCTGTGAGATGATATTGATTTAGCTTCGAATCCTTGTCCAGGCTTGGAGGATGTTTCTTCTGGGCGAGAAGATGTTGGCAGAGAGCATCTTCGAGCAGCAGGAGGCCGGCTGTCGCCCTCATCACTCTGGGCCCTCTGTGGTTCATGCTTAATAGCTTTTTTTCGCCTGCACAGATGATTCACCTCGTGGAGCGTAGCAACATGTGCCCTACTGTGTTTTGAAGAAGCCTTTGTGGCCTGAAGGTTGGGAATTTCACATGTGCCACTGTTAAGGTGGATCCTTCAACTCCAGCAAGAGCGCCAGGAGGTTGAGGTTTCAGTCCAGGGAAGTTGTAGCGCTGCACATGCGACGTGATTGTTATCCGGAGGAGCAGCTGCTCGCTGCCCTGGTGCAGGTCATGTGGCTCAGCAATCACTTCTGCTGCGCATATGATATGACACATGCTGCACCAGTGCCTAGCAAGTGCAAAATTGATTTTTGGTTGCCTTCTCTAAATCTGGGACTGAACAGGTTAACGAGCTGCAGCAGGCGTCGCTAGTTCTTGGCTTGTGTTTCGAGAGCACCCGGCCTGTCATGCCAAAGAGTTGTCGATAGTTCTTGTGACTGCAGGCCCTGTCCTTGGAGGCGTGGCAGGCGTTTTACGTGGGGAAGTTTGTTTGATAGACGATGTCAGGCCCGCTCAAAGGAATGTCTGGTTGACGAGTTTCGGCAGCTCCAGGCCCCCTTTGTGCTCGTCCAGTCAATAGGACCCAAAGCATCCGAAGCCTTTTCTGATACAGGAACACCTGAGAGCTACCAAAGTGTGAAACAATCGGCTGCGCGTTTAGCCCGATTTTTTCAGCCAGAGCATCAAGCGGGCAACAGACTGGCTTTAAGCTGTCAGGTAGCACCATTGGTGTAGAGGAATTGGTGAAATCCACCGAATGCAACTCTTCAGCCAAAAGCCTGGCAGAATTGAGAAAATGTCACGGCTCGGGGAGCGTTTGGAAGTGTGATTGGTCATCATCCGTCGAACATCTGCTGTGAAGCTCTACCGCAAAGGCGAGCTTTGGCTCGAAAATTTCCGTTTTTCTGGACCATCCATCCATTTCAGCCTAAAACTGGCGAATCTCTAGTCTTGTCAGGAGGCTGATGCGCCAGAGCGGCAAGAAGCCATATGTCAGTATGTATATTCATATATAGATATATTGGATGTCAGTTGGGAGAGCATAGAAGTCAGAAGATTGTCGAGCTACTGAGCCACTGAATCTCTCACATCCCAGGCGCCTCGGAGCCCTGACCTCAGCCATAATGATCGGGCTGTTGCCATGCATAGATGTCAACACAGAGAAGTAGTCAGCGTAGTGTTTGAAACAATGCAGCGAAAACAGATATGATGTGATGTTGGAGTTGCCGGTTCAGGCTTTCAGACTCTCTTTGCCAATAGTTGTGCTCGCGTCAACCGCAACGAACCTGGCATTTTGCTTGAAGACTGGTTTGAATGTGCTAGCCAAGATTGCTGTATTTGCTCCAGGAAGGCAATTACGAGTCGTTGGTCTCAGCTGATGGCCATGTTGACACCGGACGACATACACACCAGACCCTTTGCTGCAAGTGCTGGCAGCCCCGAAATCTATTAGTAGGTTGGAGAGACTTCTGCAACTGACAAATTCCTGTTTTGGGTTCCTGATGGTTGTCTGCTTCCGCGGAAGTCTGGCTGCATACCTCTGTAGATTGGGCAGCTCCGAGCCCCGGAACGTTGGATTCGGCCTGGATATGGACATGGCAAGTCTTTTCAATGACCCCTGTTAGTCACTTTGCAAGTATGAAAGTAGAGTAGAATTGGTGCTGCCGTGGTGCGTTTCAAACAGGGTATCTTTTCGGAGGTTCAACCATGAAGCTTTTAAGAAAGGCCCCCATCTGCATGCAAGAGGCATGAAGAGAACCACAAAATAAGTCTGCGAATTGAGCAGGCTTGAAAGTCTGAAGGCGTTTGTTCAGAGGTTAGCGTCTTGTGTAGACTCAGCAGGGGATTTTTAGCGAAGTAGGCTCAGGCTGCTACGTTGTTTCTCGTTACATTCCGGCGCAGAAAGTCGTATACAGAAATGCAGAGGCAACGGCACATGCGGCGCCATGCACGCCATCGGCACCACCACGAACACCATGCTGAGGTCACCTGAAAGCACGACGTGCTTATTTTTGAGCTTGGAAATCATTCTGTTTTGCTGTAGAGGTTGGGGAGGCAGCGCTGTCCCAGGCTGGGAGAAGTCTGTAATGCACTTTGTACATCCATTTGTTTGTTCTGGAGCAGGTAGAGCATCTTCAGGATCCTCAGCCAGCTGACAGGTTTGGCGGCCCACAGGCCCGAGCTTTCTTTGGCCTGGGTACGAGTTTTTACAACCGCATCTCAATGTTCGGTGCCCGGGCATGCTCATGGTACGAACTAACAACTCTATGAAAATTCTGATCACTTGATTCCTTAGTATTTTCTTTCAATTCGATATCTCATGCTTCAATTAAAGCACCACATGTTCCAGTTCCTGTGTATATCACTGTTCCTGTTGACGTTAGAGAACCGTAAACATCAGAACCAACTGATGTCATGCCTAACTGATAGCATTTGGCCGTTGCTGTTTGGATGATCTATTTCGACTCTTTGACTTACTGATACACCCGAATGCGTAATGTCTACATGTCCCAATAAGTTAACGGGTCCGTTTGTCATTTTAATCTCTGGTGTTGATGGTTCTAATCCCATTATAACATTTCTGTCTCCGAATGCATTGCTGTTTCTGAATCATTTTCACTCTGTGTCCAATTCCCCTTTGAATTCACTGCTGCTCTGAAACAAATAGCGTCCCCAACCAGTGACATCAGCCTCCCCAACAATATTACCAACACTGCTAAATGATTATTTACAGCTGCTCTATTAATTATAGTTCTGAAGGTGTCGTTGAATTATAATGTTGTTGTTCCTGTTGTGAGGTCACATGTTCTATCCGTCTGTATACTTCCTCTGTTGTGGCCAGAGTGCGGGTAAGTCCATGCTTCGTGGTTTCTTCTCCTTTGATATTGTTCCCGACGTTGTGTGGTCATGCTACAAGCAACATCTTGCTTGGTTTTTGTCATGCAGCCTTCCTATTGTTGAGTGCTCCACGGAAGGGGTCCTGTTTTCAGTGTTGCGATCTGGGACTCCATGGCCGACCAAACTCTTTGCGCACGTGTCCACAAGCGTCCGAAATGCGTCGACAAATGTTTGCAAGCGTTTGCAAGCATTCGCGCAGTCACCATGCTCGTACAAGTGTTATCGCTTTTGGATCGTCGTTGCTGCGTCGCGTGTCAAAGGTGCAAACAGTCACGGGTGCGGCGGCGATGCGCTGCTTCTTCGTAGCGTGTGAAAAATTCATGAGTGCCAACAGTCACAGGGATGCTGCTCCCTGGGGTAGCAGCTAGACTCGCCATCCTCCTGCCTGTCCTGGCTCTTGGATGTTGGCAGAGAATGCAGGGACGACGGGAAAGTGCGGTGGAAGTGGAAAAGCACTGCAAGGTGGAGTGTAGACTAGACTCGAGAGTGGAGGGCTAGTGACGCAGAGAGTGAATGAGAGTGAAGTGGAAACTGGAGTGTTCTCTGGATTGAGGGTGGAGTCCAGGGCAAACAGTGGAGAAAATAGTGGAGCAAAGAACAAAAGTGGGGAGTCGAGTTCGCGGGGATTTCCAGGCCCCTTGACGAGGTCCGTGCTGTTTGTTGGCTTGTACCTTCCCTCCCCCTATTCTATCCTAATTCCGTGTTGGATTGAGCCTGGCTAGCTTTCGTTGGCCTCGGCTCGCCCCTCAAGTCTTAAGATCCACCTACTGAAGGACAATGTTCACATGGACGAGGTCGGATTAGCGAGCGCAAGTCAGCCCAAGGAGGACAAGAGAAAGCCTGCCGAACCCTTGGCTTCAGAGGCACTCTTCGATTTACCTGAGTGACAGAATGAAGTTTTGCCCAGGCGTGGAGCCAATGGGCTTGTGCTCTTATGTGTGCAAGCAGGGCAGCAGAAGGCTGCTGTTCCTACAGAGGCACCGACGTAGCAACTTGCAGCTCTCAGGGCCTTTCTCTGGGTTGCTGTTAAGGA